TCTGATGATAGAAACACTGGTAGACTTCCAAACTGCTTTAACACTGTAGATATATCAATAAAATATTGCCTAACTGATCACTGTCTCTCTGTCTTTTGCTCTCTCTCCCTATAAATAGTGGTCTTTTGTTCTAATTGTGGAGGAACATGGATTTTGAAGTATTGTACAGAGTGACCTTTTGGATTTTTTTATCAGGGATTTTTCAGTTTTCAAATAGGGAACACCAGAATTCCTGGTAGGGAGACAAGTAGCAGGACCCAGGCAGAGGAACCTGCTCAGAGTTGGCATCTTGGACCCATCTGTAGGTGGCTGACCTTCTAGTGAGTTGGGACCAGGAGGATATGCTTTGACAGCTGAAAGCAGGCAACCACACTGGGAACATCTTCCAGGTGATAGCTGCCCAGATGGCTGGGCAGGGGCACACATGGCAGTAGTGCTGTACAAAGGTCAACTTTGCAGCCACAGTCCACTGGATGTGCAGTCCCCAACTGGGTCTGGCAGGTGTGAAGCAAGTCACAGCCAGGCAGTATCCCCCACTGCCAGACTGCTACAGCGGGTAAAGGGTTCTCAGGGCTGCTTCAGCAGTCCAGCTGGCAAAAGGGGTAGTGTCCCCAGGTACCAATTGGCTGAGCCCCAGAAGCTCCTGTCTATTTGTAACTTGCAAATATCACGGTCCCCTATTGTATGGGGGTTAATGAGTGAATGCTACAACAAAATACTTGGGATCACAAAGGCCAAGAGGAGGTTGACCAGGAGGTCCCAGGACTTGGTAGGGCTGTGGATGGGGTGATCAAAAACAAAAAGGTGGGAGGTAAAATTCAACCAGAATCTTAGAAGGATGTTCTGGTGGTGGAGGGGTGCTGCCTGGTGCACTTGAGGGTCATGTGCACCAGGGTCTCCCTCTTCCCATAGAAGGGTCAGGAGACCAAGATGTCTGTGAAGCTCACCACATACACTCCCATGGTGACAGCTCCATGGACGAGCCACCAGCTGAGGTTCCCAGTTGCTTGTGGGATGAGGGTGGGGTACAGACTCAGCCACCCCAGAAGCTCCTGAGAGCAAGTACTGAGGAGGCCAGGACAGGGCAGCTTTTTATACTGATGGGTCCAGCATATATGCTGGCCCCAGGCTCTAGCTCCCCCAGACGCACACACCCCGGCTGCAGATCTTGCACCACACCAAAGTGCATATCCAGACATGTGTGCTGAGGCAAAAAGCCCCACCTCAAATTTGCACCACTTCTATTTGAGCTGGTGCAATTGCATGTGCCTGCATGTGTGGATGCCCCCCACTATTCAAATCTAGTTCTGAAGAGAGATTCATAAATGAAGCAATCTCTGAATTATCTATAAAATGTAGTCAGATATTTTCCTGTGTTTGTACAATTATTATTAACTCAAAGAAAGGATGACAGGGAGAGCATAGGGAGAAAACATGTGGTCTTGCTTTCAGTCAAGGTGCCCCAGAAGTGGGAATCTCAAGTTTACCAGTGAGCAAAAGTAACCAAAACATTTGAAGTGACAACTGAAGGAAATAATCTAGAAAATTCTGCACCCTAGGCTGCACTGGAAGGAAGGAAATTTTATCTGGAGACAAAAAAATAGAAAATAATTTCAATTATATTATCCATTTAAAAATATATAAGAACACATTTTGAGACTAACAATAGTTTATACAATACTATTTCCAAGCTATTTCTGACTTCAGTATCCTCATGCTCAAAGGGAATCTTCCAAATATCTTTAAAAGATGTATTTGGAAATAAAATTCATAAGATGACTCAACACTAGGAACCAAGGACTGAACACTGATATTGATTTCATGGCACATAAAAGCCAGGCATAAAGCCCAAGATGGGTAGACTCAGAGGGAGTGTCCAGATGATTTTGGTCATGCAGTATTTGGTGCTACAAACGCATTTGCAGCACCACATACCACACAGCCCAGTGTTCTCCACACTGCAAATGCACACTACCTGACTGTGCACTGCTCTGGTTTTTTTTCCTGACATTTTTCTTGACCCCTGCATATCCAGGATCCAATTGGTAGGATCACTGTGGCTGGAGCCCCAGGCCCCCAAGTAAGAGGCCCCTAGCACCCCTATGCCACTCAGAGCAACTCGCCATGTGCCAGGGACAAGAAGCAGCAGTGCAAGGTGTGCTGCCATTACTGGTCCCCAGGGAACCACACATCCACACTCTAGATGCACCCAGAGGGTGTGTCCAGATGAGCACACATGTGCAGGTTGTGGCACTGTAGACCTGTCTGTGGTGCTGCAAACCACACATACTGTGCCTGGAGGCATTCACCGTGCTGCTAATTTGCACAGTGGTGAGTTTTTTTGACATCACTGTCAAAAAATAACCTGTGCCAAAAAACAGCTTGGCAGTGCACCTGGCAGCAGCATGCACCTCCCGGAACTGAAGCCTGGTCAGCCAGAGCTACACTCTGACAGCTGGCCCAGCAATATGTTCCTGGATCACCACCACTGAAGCCCTAGGAGGCCCCCAGGACCCCAGATAAAGCTGCCAGGGCCAACCCAGGTGCTGGCCCAAGCCTCCCCTACCTCACCCAGGGCAACTTGCTGTACATTAGAGTGCACGTACATGAGTGATCCCTGGGGACAAGTAGCAACAGCACAGCTATGTGCCTCTGCTATTTGTCCCTAGGGAAACACACATCTGGACATGCCCAGAGGTTCTGGTCTTCCTAAGTAGGGGCTCTGCTAGTGGCTGAAGCAAGTATTCCCCTGAACCCAACTGTTTGTTGTTGTATATTAATGGTGGAGAGCCTGGGAGGCTAGGTATAGGTGTACTGTGGGAATGGTATGCTGTCCACAGTAGTTTGGGCCATATGCTGTACCAATGAGCTCTAAGGCCCTGGATTAATTAACTTGCTACTCTCTGCAGTCATAAGCTGAATCTGAGGTTTGTATAATGCATGCACTTTTATCTTTAGCTTGTAACTGTTGATGAACCTAACTTGAACTAAAGTTTAAATGACTGTACACTGAAGATTAATAATAAGTCTAATGGAAGTCTAGCATAAAAAAATTCAAGTAGTAAATAAAAGGATAAATAAGTTGTGTCACAGTAATTAATATTACAATCTGTCCAATATGTGGTCAGGTTACTTGTATGTAGCTTTCCATAATAAAATATTTTGCTGCTGTTAAAAACTATGCAGTATTATACTAACTTGAAAAATGAACTTTCATTTACAGTCCTTAATGACTGCAATACTGCATGTGCATTTTCAACAGTCTTATTATGATAATGTATATTTAACTAAAACACATTAAATACAGACACTATATTAACACAACATTAGAGTAAAGAAATACCAGTAAAGAAAAGACTATATTTGAGAAAAGTATAGGTTTGGTGGAAAATAGTGGCATATGGAGAGATAAGTAGTAGAGAAGGCCTTGGATTTACATCTCCACTGCGTTGGCCAATTCACTGTCAATATAACAGCAGAAGAAAATGGTGTCTTCTATATATTGGCACATACGGCCTCCTCACTAGAGCAAGATAAGAGAAGGAACCAGATTGTTCATGTAGTCCCTCTGTCTTCCTCCTAATCTGGTGATACAACTTTGCACTGCCCTATGCTTGGGATGGACTGTAGGGTTTTAAGCTCATGAAAGTGAGGAAATGCCTTGTTAATAACCCATCACAGAGACAACCTTTACTTGTTGTTTCTTATCTCCCCTTTTCTCTGAAGTACACTGTGAACGTTTTCTGTAACAAATACATTACACATTCTTAACAGAAAATGTAACTCTGTAAGCAGTTGCACATTGAGCTGTGGTATGAATTATAGATAAACATTGCTACAGAACTGTTTAATAGCTCATTTTTATGCTGCCTACAAATGAAAACAAAATGTGTTTTTTCATTATATATGTCTGTGTTTTTGCATTTAAAAGTACCACGTTAAAAGCTATAGCAGTATAGATTTTAGCATTTGATTTCCTTATAAAAGCACATAAAAGACAATGGAAGAACTTGGACAAGAACTGATAAATGATATAGACTATAGGAACAGAAATTACATTGTAGAAACCAAACATTAAACCATTTGTATTATATTAGAACTGCAAAACTAACAAGTCCTCCTCAGTAGACAAGTGTAAATAGAAAAGAACATAACATGTTATCGATTTTTATGCATGGTATATACCAACATTGGCTAGAACATTCCTACTCTCCCTTTGTTCTGCACACCAATCATGTAGTTGTGGATTTCCTTTCTTCTGCAGTTGTACACACCTTTCTCCTTGACACCTCAAAAGATTTTCCATGTGAATATCTGCATTTGGGCAATCACACAGAGACTGTTGACTGTGGTGGTTGAATTTAGTTATAAGTAGTAGACTACTGGCAGAGTAGTAGATTAGAGGCTGGCAGAAACATACAAGCCCCTTTAGAGGCATATAGTGTGGCCAAAGTAAAAATAACCTTCTATTGCCTCTTCAAGTGAACAGACAAGAAAAACTTCACAAAGAGGTCTTTGAAGAGAGATGTTCTTCCTTTGGGTTTTAGGGCACATGATAAGGGACATACTTACAATGTAACCTGTATATTTTTCAGAGGTGAATACTTGCACAGAAACTACACTAAAGGTAATATAGACAGCACAGAGAGCTCCTGTTTTGTAAGGAAAACATTTGCTTTCCTGCTCTACCTTCATAACTTCTTTGCCAGCTCCATTCCTGTGGATAAGGCATAGGGATATAACTGGAGTAAGGGTCTAAAATCAGAGCATAAACATGGCCCAGCAATTTCCAGCCTCTTGGGACCACTGGGAAGGAAAAACAGAAGTAGAACTGTTCCTAGGCTGCTGTTTTATATGAAGAGCAGCCAACACTCTTTGACTAAGAATCATCTACACATGGCCAAGTGTACACATGTGTATGCATACTAATACTTTTGATGATAAGGAGCTCTTCTCAGTTACATTTAAGCATCTGAACTACAATTGCCTCTACATTATACTAAGAGTTTATAGAAGTTTTGAAAAGTACTTTATTCAAGAATAAACTAAATTGGTATTCCTGAGGACAGTATCTATGTGCAAGTACACAACCAATTCTATTTAGGTTACATTTTAAGTGCATCCCTTATCACATGCCATCAGTAATTCAGATTTCAATATACCCTACTTGTAAACATTCTGATATAAATACATGTCCAATGTTTCAAAATA